AAGTAGATTACGCACTATATTTAAATAATCTCAAATATCTCATAATTAGCTAGATAGATTTTTTCAAAAATCCCTACAAATGGAGGCATTTAGTATGTAATTATGTGGTACGAAGCATTTTAGTGTTGAACGCTCTGCAAGGCTAAAATTATTTTCTAAACGAAAACAAATATTTCATCATAATCACGTGTTATGACKTCCGATCTCAYWAAAAAYTRCATCAAACATTAATTCAATCTTTATGTGACTTATGTGCAAAAAAGATTTGCAATCGGATAAAACACGTTTATGCACCAGCGTTCCAAAAGTGAAAGATAGCGGTCAAGCGTGAGGGGGTCCGGCCACCTTAAAGCAACTCGTTGTCTAAAGGTAATGAACGAATATAATTAGTCTATGAGAATAATTCTAATTATTAGCAATTAAGATAACACTTTTTGTCGCAAACTGTACGGCCTAGGACTCTTTTGAATTAAAAATGACTCCAGGAATCGTATCTAAAACGTCAGGTCGTCAAGAGAGAGAAAACAACGACATGGCAAACAAACTTTACTTGGGGTTTTGGAGTCACTCTGCAACGGAAAGAAATATGTTGGGTAAAATTCGTGAAAAATTGCTTAGTATTACCTATATTTGTCCGTTTGAATTGATGTCGTTTTGTGTTTGGAGAAGATCTACAGGTGTGTGTTCCTGTGTGATAATATTTAACCGCTTTTCTCTCAACTCTATTTCATCAGTTTATTTTATTTTATTTTTTTTTTTTTCTCTTCGTAACTCAAGGCACTCATATAACTCTCTAGTCGTAGTTGTATAGTTTATTTTTGTTTTAGTTTTAATTCTGTACGTTTTAGTTTAATTGCTGGTCGACTTAATATACTTTATTCTATCATTTCAAATTCTAGAAATGTTATGACGAAAACGTTTGAAAATATTGTCAATATTGATTCCACCACGTTGATTAAAAATCTTTTTTGTTTAGAGTCTTTTTTACTAAAACAATTTTTGGACTCAATACTTGGTCGTTGTATAAGCGAAAACCAGCTGAATCAAAAAGTCGCTGGTGGTATATTATTGATTAAATGTTTTAACAATTTTTTTCATGTTCTCGGCTTTAAGGCATAATTTCAGTTTGGCCTAAAATTTTATAGCCATGAGTTTTCATATTTGAGTTCGAAAAAAAATCCAAAATTTGTCACAATCCCTTAGATATCGCCAGAACTAAAATTAACAGGCCATGTGATTATTTTCTCTATTCTAAATCCATACAGCCTTATGTGTACAATATATTGGATTGCCTGTGGTCTTTGGTTGACGTCAATTAAAGTGTTTTCATGGTGTTGTCTCACCCTCCCCTAGGGCCGAGCTACGCAGGCTAGTGATGGAGTTGCAGAATTTTTTACGTACTTTTCAAACGAGCACCGGCAAAAACTAGACAAAACAAACCAAATTCTTGATTGACGTCGACCGAACTTCGATGTAGGTCTTGTTAGTATTTGAATCTATACTTCTTGTTAGTGTTTGAAACTATACTCTGGGTGAAGTAGTCGCGTGCAAGAGATAACAGCGGGTGTGGTATTTAGGTATTCAAACCCACCACATGTAGCAAAAACATTTCTACCAAAACATGTGCTTTCGGATCAAATTACGTGCTAGTGTCTAAAAATTATGCGGGCTGCAAAACTCGATCGTAGAATCGAAATATATTAGCCTTTATTAAAACATATTATAGGCAGGTTATTTTGACTAAAAATCTCTTAAACAATCTGAACGATGAAGGTAAATCTCTAGTCTGATCTCATCTGGACAACATTTGTTTTATTTTATTTTATTTTTTGCCATGATTTTTGCTGTGACCACTTTTGACACGATTTTTTTATTATTATCTCGAAATTTCCAATTTATTATGTAAAACTTTATATCAATAATTTAATTATTTTACATAATTCATCATATATATTTAAACATTTTGAAAAACAATTATTTTTTCTATTTTTAGTAGATATAGAAATGACTTATAAATAGATATAGTAATGACTTATAAATATGTATTTTTCTAAGTGTTGGATATTAATGTTGCCGTAATAAAGGTTAATTTATTTTTCATTCATCACAGAATTCGCTTCATAAAAGGACGACTAATCATCTTACCAGTTAAATTGAGTATTTAAAATATAAAATCGAGCAAAATACTTTAAAACCAGCATTAGGAGGGTACAGGAAGACCAATCTTTGGAAAGTGCAACTAGTATCCACGAGGAAGGGCGGTTTGAATCAAGTTATTTTGCATAATAGTTTTTTTGTTTATCGTTTCCGGTACACTTATGTGAGCATGCTCAGTCCAGTCGTTAGTTTCATACCCATRTGGACGGCTAGCGAAAGAGCAGTTCTGGTAGACGTGAGTTTTTAGAATTATTCAATGTTTGTGTACGATCTTAGCTCACAGTTCTTGTCTCAGAATTGTCTCCTGGAGTATCCATGTATTCAGTGTGGACAATGTTTTTAGTTTATTGACGAGTCATTGCTATGAGTCAGTCGACGACATGACAAATTTGAAGTGTTTGACATTGATGCCGAGATCGTTCAATAATCGGTTATAAAAACGTGTAAATGACTCGAAGACTCGCAATTGAGATCGGAATCCATGCATTGAAAGCAATTGAATAATTCTAGAGCACTAAAAATGAAAGTACATGCCACAAAACGGCAAGGCATATTAAGAGGGATTCAAGTTCCTGTCGTCGTCTTGTAACAAAATGGTGGACCTAACGAGAGCAATCGTTGGTATCACATCATGAACCCCCTTTATCAATCATACTTGTGCTTATTTGCCATTATGACAGATTTAGGAAGGTACCACTGGTCAGGAAAAGATTCAACATGGTTAAAAGCTTCTTCTTGGAGAGGGTAAAGATAATTTTTAATTAGTCAAACGCACGTGTTGAAGCACTCAATTGTTTACAATAGAGTCGACCTTTGTCACTCCACACTAAGCTAACCATTTGCATCAATTTTACTTGAACTATGATTTACTGAATCCTGTGAAAATTGTTTAGCTATTTCCAAATGAAAAGCATATGGTAATATTGTTTAAGATCTTTTTAGCTTTTAAAACACCGTAAAATTACAGCAAAGTACGAGTAAATTGGCATTTTTTTCATCTATCCAAGATAAACATCGCTGAAAACAATTTCAATGYGTTTTATAGTTTTGCCCGCACATGTTTATTTATATTTCAGTATTGTTTGTCGAAAACGGTAATATCAAAGAAGTAGTCTCATATATTATATTATTCATATTATTCATGTATTAGCAGGATATTTCGAAATGTAGCTCAATTCAGAGTAGAAAATAGAATTTTACTTTCATATACTAGAGTGCAAGCAATATATCCTTGAAATATAGTAATACTAACTTACACCGCTGTATTTTATGCTAATTATATTGTTTTCTTTTGTTTAACTAGCACTATTTTGAACAATTTAGTACTTTGTTTTTCACGAATATATTGTTTGCACTCTACTCGTACTTTTCGTGCAATATTATAGCATTACGATGCCACATAGTTATTTGGAAACTTTACTGCGATACCCGTTAATCAAAAGGGTCTATATTTCTCGCTACAGCAGGACTGACAGGAATACTCACGAGACACGAGAACACTCACATAAACACACTCACACGTTCAAACCATAGTTAATAGAGGGGAATGGTTAGGAAACCTATTGTTATCAGGTCTTTGTTCGCTTTTTATGTTGAACTGGTCTTGACCGTGCACAATGTTTGATTTATGCTCATCCGAAATTGCAAAATAAGTAAACATAAACTTTGTCTTTGGGGTTGTTGTTAGGAATATTCAAATATCTCTTATAAATCTTTAAGTATCGTGAACTGGCAGCCAAAAGAAAGATTTTGGTCTGTTCACTAAGCCATTACCAACAATGGTCCGGTAAAACAATGGTGAAGGATTGTGCATGGTCACGCTTGAAATGAACAAAGACCTATACTTGGTTTTCACGTGGATTCATCAAAAAACTAACATGCAAAGTATTCACTTCACAAAACTGTTTTTTGAAATTTTGTTTATAGCATTATAAGAAAGGTATTACCAAAATAATTTCGTATTATCGATGTTTGGCTATAGATTTTTTGCGAGTCCAATTCTGTCACACAATTCTGTCACGCATTTATAAGTTTTTAAGTTAGTAGATGATTGGTAACTTTATTTCTACTATTATTGTTATCGAAAAATTGAAATGTTTGCAATATAAACATTATTTTTAACCTTCTTGATTTGGCCGCCATATAGGTGTCCCTCAATGAGACACCCAGATGGCAGACCCATACGTTTCAACTAAATTATGGGCATAATCAATTGCTTGTTTCTTCATATCTAAGACTTCTTTTAGCTAGATTTTTGACTGAGATATATAGTTTTGGCTACTCTTTTAGCCTGTATAAATCCTATATAAATCCTTGGAAAAATTTTGATGATGTAGGTGAAAACCAAGAATAACAAAAGGGTTTCCTAACCATTCCCCTCTATTAACTATGTTCAAACCAGCTGTTGCCCTTATCTCATGCTTCATGTCATGAATAGACGACTTGCACTAACAGGTCACGTGACCCTTCCTCCCTAAAGGAGGCTGGAAACTGTTTTTCTTGAGCGCACGCACTCTAAGTCTGATGATGTAAAACTTGCAAAAGGAAAATCTTTGTACTCATAAATTTTAATATTCAAACTGAAAAAATCAAAAATTCTGCGGTGAAATTTCTTCAAATTTTGCATGGGGCTTTAGTTATGTTTTTCAAAACTTAAGGAATTGTTTTTTAATCTCTAAGAGGGAACTATTCCAAACAAATTTTATTGATTTTTACGAATTTCCTCTTACAGAATTTGTACTTTTCTTGTCAAATAGAAGAATACGATACAAAGTTGAAATATTCCAGTTTTTAAAAAAATTCACCATTTGGTTCCTGAGTTATGATTTTTTGAATGAACATTTTTGATGGTATAAGAAGGGTTCTGATGTTGTCATAGCAACATCTTACGTCATTTTTTCATGTTCATTGTGATCTTTGGTTTATAGTGTTTGGCTTTCCGGGTTTACCTGCTGTCATATTATAGCCATAATAAATTTTTTTAGTTTTTAAGACGAGCAGTTTTGCCAAAATCAAAAAAACAGAAATGGAAAGAGTATCTTGGCATTAGTAGGGAGGCAGARTTTCAAATCATAATGAGCGAAACAGGAGAAATGGCATTAGATATATTGAATAGACTGCACTACACTGCACTACACTGCACTGCACTACATTACACTGCACTACACTACATCAGACTGCATCAGACTACATCAAACTGCATCAGGAAATTAACTTTTGGAAAAAAGTGCACCCTATTCACCATTTTCCATACATCGGTTCACTGGTCAAATACAAAGCATTCAGTCAAGGTTGCAAGGTTCAAATTTGAATAATCCTTTGAAAGTACCTTGGCGCATGCTTGACCAGCGAACCGATGTATGGAAAATGGTGAATTGCAGTGTAGTGTAGTGAAGTTCAGTGCAGTGTAGTGCAGTGCAGTCTAGTGCAGAGTAATGCAGTGTAGTGCAGTCTAGTGCAGTGCAGTATAGTGCAGTCTAGTGCAGTCTAGTTCAGAGTAATGCAGTGCAGTGTAGTGTAGTGCAGTGTAGTGCACTCTATTATAGTATATATACCATACAAACTCTTTAAATCATAAGGGTAAAATGGGATGAGTGATTCCTGTATTTAGGAAAACCAAAGCTGGTGCAACACCGCCATTTTGTTTTTATTTTTCTGGGCGGATGAACTGGTAGCGAGTCTAATCCCAAGCTAAAAATCGACTAAAAAAAAGTCGACCAAGTTAAAAAAGTCGGCCAAGTTAACTTTGTGTAAGGGAGGGGTTGGGGTAAGAGGCTATTCGCAACAAATAATGTTTTTTGCCATTTTCACCCCCATTTCAGAAACTGCATGCCAGCAACGGTCATAGTTTCTTCTTCTTCCCACTATTCCATTCTTTCTTTCCCTTTAATTCTTTTATTTATGTATTCCTTTTTAATTAATTAAGCCAAAGTAAACGTGCTAAGGGGTTCTGGTATTGGTATGACGCCATCATAGATTGTTGCCTAGTAACTTATCAGTTTTCTGTTAGTTTTCCGAATGAGAATTTCAATATCTTTAATGACTATTTACTGATTTAATTCTCGTGATCAATTAGCATGAGTACACTCTAATGACATAACACTAAGTCCTTACCCAGAAATAACAGAGAGAAAAACTTATTTTAGACCGATTTTCATATCGTGATGGTAATCAAACGCATTGCGTACGTTTTAATTATTAATGCATCTAGATGTTTGTATAATTTTCTTCCATTTTGCATGACTGATCGCCTTTATTGTTCAAAACCGCCTTCCATAAATTCATTCTTGAAAGTAACGATCTAATTTTTATCCACTATTTAAATCAGTATTTATATTTTTATTCTAGTTTTTATATATTTATTTATTAAATGATTTATGATTAAATATGCGTAGTATAAATATTAAAGTTATTATTATTTTGCTTGAAATGGTTTTGAAATCTTGCGCGTGGTGGTTGATCAACCGTCAGCATGATTTTTTCATTGATTAAAATGCTTGCTCCCTACTATTCTTTCAAGCGTTTAGTACCTGGAGAGAMAATGTTTAAGAAAGAAACCAAATGTAAGTTCCTTTTGCTATTGGTGGAATAGAATCATGAATGAAGTCGTAGATCCTGAGAAACTTTTCTGAATATCCTATGAGAAGGTTATTTAGCTCGTTAAGCACTAAAAAGCGCGTATTATGCAGAACAAAAGAAGTAAACTGGAATGACGATAAAGAGCTTGATAGGTGGGATTCCTTATGCTTCACCTGTCCTATCCTACGCCGTTAATTATCTAATACCTACCTGAAAACTACCTAAATCAACTAATATTTACGAAACAATCCATTGGAAGTTCATTCGACCAATGTGAGGACACAAGTGTTTTATTGTGACTATGAATATGAGGGTCTTTGATTTGGCGCGGAATGAACGGCCAGTACTCTAGTTTGTGATTGATAGAGCATCTGCTATCACGCTATAAGGCACTAGGCGGGTGTGTAGAGTACTACGGTACTACGTTCATTATTTACCCGGTTCTAACACTGACTGAAACATCAACTCCATGCCAATTCTCATCACTTGTATTCTAGGACGACAACTCTGAAGGTCAAGAGATGGAGCCAGATGAAAAGACCAAGATGACGGTCAACGGTTGCCCAGTCGGTGAGGAAGAGGAGAATCCCGAAGAACAGGTCAAAATTGAAGTCGAGATTGAAGAAGGACGAGAGCAATGGGGAAGAAAGGTCGAATTCTTTCTGGCTTGCATTGGCTATGCTGTTGGTCTGGGAAATGTGTGGCGATTTCCGTACTTGTGCTTCAAGAATGGTGGCGGTGCCTTCCTTGTTCCGTACGTGATCATGTTATTCTTATGTGGAATGCCTCTCTTCTTCATGGAGCTGTCGCTTGGCCAGTACATCGCTCTTGGGCCAGTAACATCATGGGCCGCTATTTGTCCTCTCGCTAAAGGTAACACTAACATTGATACTCCTCCGGCTAGAATTATTCAAAGCCCTCGTAAATAATCAAATATTGTGTATAGTTATTGTAGTATTTGGTACCGTTTATAACTGTGAATAATATTTATTAGACATTTCGCTATAGGTGAACTTCCCGACACCCAAGCTGACATTCCTGTCTTCGTTCTTGATTTCAATTTTCTTAAGAAATGTTTCCTGATTCCAATATACTTCAAAACTAGTCGGAATCAGTTAAGACATCTACCAGCAAATCGTTTCCTGAATTCTTGTAAATAATTATTCTCTTCGAACTATAGTCATTTAATTGAATTCCGATACAAGTTTATAGCACATTAGGATATCATATCCCGTCGAAGATGAGTCCCTCCTCACCAACTTCTTAATTCATAATTCCGATAGTTGCAATCTAAAATTCAAGTATTTAGCAAGTAAACGATTAACAACTTGTATGTACACGTGCTGAAAACTTTCTTTCGTATCTTCTCATACAAAATTCATGGTTTTGGTCCTCGAAAATCTACCTTTGCCGCCACTTTAGAGTAAATTAGCCATTCTTCCAATCTCTATAGATTCTAAAGAGCCTTATTAGACTGAAACTTGGAGAACTGTTTTACCAAAACCGGCTAAGCTGTGCGTTTTCAGTTTTTGTTTTTGTCATTTTAATTCAATTCAATTCAAAGACGAGGGGAAAAAACACTTTACTTTTCGATCCTTTAAAATTATCGATTTTCTCACGACTTTATAAATTTTGCGAATTATTTTTCATTCGAATTATATACTCGTAGCATTGTTTTCAAAGGTTTTATTTCACGTCTTTAAAAATATCTAAAACACAGGCATTTATAATATAGTAGCAAAGATCTATACTCTCTCTCAGCTGCTGTCGGAAAACGATTAATTATTTATCTTGTGTACTTCATCTCGATCAAGTGTATCTAGAAAAAAATTTCGATTTATCAATCTGCCTTGTGTACAAGAAAAGAAATTTATTACAAAATATTTATTTTTGTTATGGATTTTTCATCGCCGGATTTCCGAATTTGCTGAACGCTTTTTGGTTGGTTGTAGTATTTTTTCCTTGTAACGATCTTGGTTATCATCGACATTAATTCCATTGTTATTTTTCATTGTGTTCAATGTTATTTGTCACAAAATCATTGTTCTTCGTTTTATTTACTATACCTCTAGAAKTTTCAAAACGATCATTTTTTATCTTATCTTTACTATGAAATTATCTATTTCCATTGACGAAGCTGAGACCCGTGGGCAAGATTAAGGCACCCACGACTTGCACGTCTCATAATATACGCAACGCACTTCTGTAAGAAAAAAAAATCGAATTCCTTGTCAATGCGGTTTTACTGCGGTCGCATTTACATAGAAAGTATTTTTGAAGGCTTTAAAATTTTAACAGCTTACACTAAAACCTTCTCAAGAACTCGATGATAATTACATTGTACAATGAGTAGCGTCACGACCAAGCCGACCATATGATCAAATATAATATTTTATTTCTTGCTTGCTTGCGTCTTGATGCAGTCCAGAGTTTTTATCGGCGCTTCGTGCTCGATTTTGAAATGTCTCAGTTTGTGTGGGTTTTATTCGCTCTGCCTTATCGTGCTTCAGCTTTCTCCAAAATTAATTTATATTTTTCCTTAATTTAAGTTTCTTGGCTTGTATTTTAATCTCAAGCTGGTTATAGGTGATGTAATTTGGCTTTTATAGTAATTCTTTTGTCCTTGCTTCCTCCCTTGCTTCCTTGCTTCCT